GTTGGATGGGATTCCACAGTACCCTTCCCGTGTGGTGGTCTTGTTGCTAGAAAATATCCAGCAATTACAGAGCATAAAGGCTATTGCTACTTAGCTCATTGCGAGTAGTCCCTCAATTCGAGGAATGAAGAAACTTCGCAGTGCCATCGATTGTTTGTTTTTTGTGTTTAGTTTGTTTTGTTGACTGTGTTTTCATGGTTGTTCACCAACATGTTTACGTTCACTCACATGTGCGGGGGGTGGGGAGGAGGGGGCAGTGACGTTCGTTCGTTCGTTCGTTAGTAGGTAACGGTTTGTTGAAGAAGAAAATGATCTTTGGCACCCAGCAGCTGGATCGGCTGTGGTCGTGGATGAAGAAGTTCATCCCGCAAAGCAAGAACCGTTGCAAAGGATTGGTGAATCCCAGGCTGTGGAATAGAGTTTACCAGTGGATATACCGACACAAAGAGCGAAATCCTTGAAAGCTAGAAAAAAGGATCCGAGTACATTTTTGGGGGGAATGTCACAACACAAAATCTGCACTTTGTGTGGGCGTCTGTTTGGGGCGGAGTTCCGCACTTCTTTCTTCGAACTGCTGAGTTCCGTGCACATCGGACTCCTGAGGGATTGCGCCGTGCAACAAGTTTGAAGGCATAGCCCGCATGGCCACTATAAAATTAACATCAAAAAGCGAAGCAATCCATTGTATTGCTAGGAATCTTTGTCGAACACCTGTGCTCGGCGTGTTTGGATGGCTGGTCTTCCGAGTCCGAATTCGGCCATGGGAGTTATATCTCAAGTAGTAACAGGTGCCACGCTAGTAGTAACAGGTGCCTTACTAGTAGTAACAAAGAAGCTACTAGTAACAGGTGCCTTACTAGTAGTAACAAAGAAGCTAGTAGTAACAGGTGCCTTACTAGTAGTAACAAAGAAGCTAGTAGAAACAAGAGGACAAAAGTCAGGTACAATGTCACACGTTTTGACCAACCTCCGCCACCGACATGCGCCGTCCGTCCCATGCCACTCCGAAAGTATCCCCAGTTCAAACATGCCTGCAGAATATGGACAACCATAGGGAAATGGCTGGAAATGGTCATAGACTTATCAGTGTGTGTGTGTGTAACCCTTGGAATCACAGGGATCCTTTTGGATTGTTTT